ACACACACACACACACACACAGCTGGTCTGTGCTGGTTTATACCTGTGAGGGTGAGCTGGTTAACTCCTGAGATCTCTCTTTGGCTAACCGCGCCGCTTCTTTGAACTCCGCAAACTTGTCAGCAAACTGCAGAGAGAGAAACCAACACGGACGTGTCAGGAGACGAGGGTGTGATCTGAGAGAAGCTGGGTCTCGGTCCGGACTCACTTTGCTCAGATGGGCCTCGGAGGAGAAGCCCAGGCCGTAGACCGTGTTAGCCCGACTGTCTGCCCACTGACCGAACTTGTGTGAGGTTTTGGTGAAGCTCATGTTGGGGGTGATGGTGCTGTTGATGATGGCCTGCAGGAAACACAAGATCATTCCAGTTTGAGGAGAAAATGAAAGGAGCCACAAAGAAATTCACCAAAATTAAAGCGAGTTTATGACTAAGACAAGAACAAATATCTGCCAATGAGTGCAGAACAACACAACTACTTCAAAGAGAAGTTTATGCTTGTTTTCAGCATAAACTCACTTTTGATCAGTGTCTCAGAAAACAAGACTTGTGTTCATTCTGCACCTCCAGGAAATGTGTCACGAATTAATGAAAACTTGGAAAATATTGAGGAAGATGTTCATTGTTTGCAGTGCAAATGTCCTAAATGTAAGACTTTCTGCTCTGGTTTGTGTGGAAGGGTGAATTCTCAAGGGTCTCAAAGAAGAAGGTTTTTGCAAACTGGGCTTCATGAGTTGAAGAAAAGCTAGTAATTAATCATTAAAAGGTCATATTGAAATAAATATATAATGTTGAAATACCTGCACAGCATGTGACCATCAAACAACCGCCATTAAACGATCAGATTACTCTGAACAATACTGTTTTATTTGGTAACTACACAAAGAATGAAAGAATTTTTACTCTTAAATTTCACCGATAATTACAAAGAAATGACGAGGAACTCACTGAATAAAACTGAAATCGTATTTTCTTGTAAAATGTACTCTAATAATCTTTGTTTTGTTAAAAAAACGATATATTTTTTTTTAAAGTAAACATTTTTGAAATTCAATTCAAGTTTATTT